CCATGGCTATTAGGTTGGAGGCCATCGCTATTGGGGCGGAGGCCATCGCTATTAGGGCGAAGGCCATCGCTATGGAGGCCATTGCTATTAGAACGGGGGGTAGACGACCTTGAAGCCCGAGCCTGAATGATTTGGTTCTTAGATTGCATCATGGATCATGTCATGTCATTTGCCGAGTTGTTTCCAGCTCTGCTCGGTGGTTTCAACATTTTGCTCTTCAAGAAACATCAACAGGTACCTTTTCTTCATCTCAATCCACCTTTGCGGTGAACTTCATGCTTCGTATGGTGCCTCAGCCGCACTCGGTTACTTTCTGTTGTTTCAATTGTAGCGTTTAGCGACGTGATCGCTTCACACTTTGCAAACCCTTGGGCGCATATTTCAGGCTATCCACATCCTGGCAGATCTTCATCAGCCATTGCATGCGGCACAAGGTGTCTTCAATGATACCCGATTTGGAGATGTCTTGGGAGACCGTGGCGGCAATCTGATCCGGACAGAGCTTGTGCTTTCTCCTTATTCAAGAACTATATAGTTTCACTCTACTGATGTCAAGCATACACTCTGAGATATATTTAACTATATTTATATATTCAAGTATGTTCAGTTCATCAGGGGTAATTATTTTTGGGATACGTCTTCATGGCGAATCCATCCGCACAAGTGTTGTGTTTGACTACAGTAAGTAGTTTGAGCCCATGCAATTCAAAAGCAATGTCTTCCCCCAACATTGCAAGTACTTGTGGTGTATGAGAACAATTATTTTCGAGAATGATGCTAGTGATCTTGAAGACCTCGCTGTAGCTATATAGTATAGTCGCAATAATGCCAGAGCACTTGAAGGAAGCAGCTGGTCTTCAGCAAAACTCCCAGGGGCTGGCCTGTTTGCAGGATCCAATCACCATGGAAGGAGCTCAGAAGTTTGCATTTGTTCTGGGATGCTGCTGGAGGGCTTTTCCTGGATGAATGGCCTTTGGTCCCGGAGGCAGCTTTGAAAGAGACCGCAGTAAAAAGATGAACGCAGTAGATGGGCGACTTGAAACAAACACATCAAAGTGGTCTTAGAATGGGAAGTAGGTCTGGATTGGTCACACATCAGGACTAGTTGTCCTTAGAGTTGATTTCAGTTCTATTTTGTCTAATTCTTGACAGGTCTTTTGAATTCGACTCTTTTGGTGTTCTTGTCACGAAAGGTAGCCCCCTGGGACCCAGGAGGCATCCCAGATTTGGATTGTTTCTTTTACCCCTGCTCCTTCGTAGGCATTCCTCCGCAGACATGCTACCTTTCGTCCACCCCCGTCTCCTCAAGTTGTGTGCTATTCCAGGGCTCGTTTTGCTGCAAATGGTCAGTCGATAAGACTGTGTTGCTTCCAGTTGCCAACTCTTGTTTCATTTTCTGGCTTGTTGCTTTCTTCCATGCTGTTAGAACTCATTGGGTTGATTTGGCAGCGCAGTTGCATCGTGGATCCACCAAAACAATCTACCTAGGGACCCCGACAATTCTTGTGCAGTACACATCCCCCTCTAAAAACATGGGGAAAGGGACCGAGTGGCCCCTCCAAAGTTGATGTCTCAACCATGAAAGGCGAGGGCGATCCCAAGCATTTTGCCAGTCAATTTCAAGCACCCCACCTTCCACAGTTTGTTCGGAATGGACCAACACTGTTCAAGGACAATGGTTCTCCATCATTCCAATTTGAGCGTCCTTATAACTGGCGAAGAAACACCAACATCATCCAAGCAATTGTGGATACCGGAATACGGATGAGTCCAACGTATTTGAGGGATATGACAGGGGTGATTGGGTGATTGGGGGTTGGCGTCTAGGTCGAATTGCGGCAGAATGCCTCAGAGATCATGAGGGCATTTCCTCGAAGTAGCCTGCAGGACAGATTGACAAAGGCATTCGGCACTGTCTGAGGTTGGGCTGGTTGCTAGTGCATGTTATTGTTGTTTTTGTCGGGAGTCGGGCTTCCAAATGCATTTGGAGATTTTGTATTTTGTTTACAAGAACTTTTCAAGTAGCATCTCTTCCCCTTTTTATGTTGAACCATTTCGGACGTCCTAGCAATGTCTACACCTTCTCTCTGCTTGTTTGTTTGTTTGTTTGTTTGTTTGTTTGTTTTTTGATTGTTTGCTTGTTTGTGTGTAACCTTTGGAGTGACAGGGAGCCTTATGGCTTTTGAGCGGGATCACTTCACCTATGGATTGGACTTTACACGTTACTTGCTGCCCTTCTCTTACTCGGCTATAGCCAGCTTGATTCATATTTGGTGCTGATGTACTTCCCTTAGTTTACCAATTTGTGATCAAGTAAGTTCTTACCTGTTTTGATTCAGGCCCCCCTTTTCACCAAGGTTTCTTCGCTTTGATGGCCTCCATACGTACCCTTTTTCCTGAGGCACGAAATGAGCCCGAACGTGGCCCTGTCCGAACAGGGGCTGGTCTTTTTCCCCCTTTAAGGCAAAGGGAGCAGGCCGGATGGCCTAGGGCAGCATTGTGAGAGGGCGCAAGGTGGTTGGAGTGACCATGCGTTCGAT